AAAAAAAAAAGAACCAGGTCATCTCTCCAAATATCCTATCGTAATTCTATTATAATAGCAAAAATGATCATTCTTATTTCTTTACAGGGCTTTGGTTTATAAAGCCTTTTAGGACCTATTCTCTCAAGTGACTCCTAAAACCATCTGATGAGACAGACAACAGAGATATCAACACGACTCTCATTTCACTGGTGAGGCTGAAGCTCTGGGCGGGTCTCTGACGTCCCAGGCTAGTTCTTGAGCCACAGCCAAGAGTCAAAAAACAAATGGCATTTTTCTAACTTACCTGTCTGAGCGAATCATTTAAAGACAAAAAATAAAAATAAAGTTAAAGAGATAGTAAACACACGTTCTTCTGTACAAGCTGTCACCCCTAACTTCTTTGTTCATCTTCTTGAGGGTACTTAGAGCAGTGTTTTCCAGCTAACTCAAGTGTGGCTGGTAAGATTGCCTTGTCTCTGTTTCCCTTTCTCATCCAAGAGGAGCAAAGCAGAAAGGTCCTACACGTACAAGCTCTGCTTGAAAAAGTTTCCCCAAGTACTAGAATCAAACCAAAGGGTACCTACTGTGGCAGCTTCCTGATCAAGTCCCCTCTCAGACTCAGCAGCACATGTTCTCACCTTTGGGAAAGCAACTGTTCCATATCCATTCCTTCTTTCTGTTGATACTCCCTCAGAAGGCTATGAGCATGCTCTAGGCTGACGAAGTCCCTGTAATCCTCCTCATCCACAACACAGATGTAATATGGCAGGAACTGTGGCACCTCAGAAGGCAAGGCCATCTCCTCCCCAGGAGAAACAGGAGAAGCAGCGCCCGGGACAGCATCCTGCAGGTGGAGATCTTGGAGCTGGGCAGTACAGTCTATGTCTCTGGCACTACTGGAATCATTTCCAAAATCCAAGGTAAGCTGTGGTGGCGGCGCCTCCTCACTGTCACTTCCCCAGTCACCTGCACCTTCACACCAATCCTCTGCTGCAAGGCCATTTTCCTGTTTCTGGAAGAATATTCAGTGAATGAAGCCCAAGCACACTTGAGCAATCTCACCTATTCCCTTGGCTTGAGCTACCACATTCCTTCACCTTCTCGAGGGAGCCTTCACACAGCACCTTCCCCTCTTGCACATTCTGATTCAACTTCCTGGTCCCCAAACACTCAAAAGCATGCTGGAGGTAACAATAAGTCTCTTCCCTTTCCAGAGGCAGCGTGGCAAATGTAGTACAGTGGTTTCTTCAACCATCTATTCCCAACTCTTTCAGCTGTGCTTCATGTACTACAGAAGCTAGCAGGAGAGAACTACATTTCCCAGACCCCTTAGCAGCTAGGGGTTCAGATATGATCAAGGGCTGGCTAGTCAGGTCCATTAGGGAGACACAAACTTGAAACAGAATGAGGTGGAAAGAGGGGCCATGAAGCAAAAGTGATAAAGCAGGGACCTGGAGCCAAAAGATCTAACAAGGGCAGCTTCCGCTTCACCAGATCACATCTCAGCTTTCTGACTGCAGGTGGGGTAGGTGGTATAACAGCTCCTTGACAGGCCAGTTCTGAGGTGTGGTTCGTTCCTGGAGCGGCCCCCTTTAACCTATCCAGTGATAGTAAAAACCTAATTCTGTCTCGGCTTTAAAAAGTCAGTGTTTTTCTATTACCTGCAACCCAACCCTGACAAATATAGGCAGACACCATCGGTTTCATCTTTTCATTCCTGGTACTGCTGGTACCATGCCTGGCACACGTTTAGAACTCAGTGTATATACATACATAAGCGGACATTTACAGGCAAAAGGAGACTGAATTTTGTTCTGCAGCTACCAACTTGCCCAACCTTTTAATTCAATAAATTCAAACTTTTTTCTGATTGTTTGCTATATACATGTACAGGTATCACAGGAACTATGTTTACTTTAAACACATATATATGTATTACACACAAACACATATATGTATACATCCATACTTTTTTCCCAAACAGAAACAGCCAATTATGTGCCTCAAGGCCTTCAGTGTATATTAAAAGAAAAAAAGAACAAAATCTTAAGGAGATAGCACTTCACAGTTCAGGAAAGTGCAAAAACCATTCCAACGTACTTCAAAAGGCCACGGCTGAAAGTTTATCTTAAACAATATTCTAGAAAATACCCTCAAATTACAGCAAGTCATAATATACTAATCACAACCGGTTTACCTGAGCGTCCTGCGCCTCCCTCTCTCGCATCTGCAGGCACTGGGAACGAAACACCTTCCAGCTTCGGGGTAAAAAATAAATGACAGTGAGGCTCCAACGCTGACCACCAGCCAGCTGGCCAGCCCTATCCGGTACGGCCGGTGCGGCCCCCAGCTCCCGCCCACTCGGCATAAAACCCCGAGGCAGCTCGGAACTTCCCCGCCTACCTGCGCGTCCCGCCGCGGCCGCACCTGGGAAAGGGGCAAGCGAACACGTGCAGTAGCCGGTGAAACGGGGAGCCTTCCAGGGGACAGTACACCTGCACGACCAGGGCAAGAGGCTGCCTGCAACGTTCACACACTGGCCTCGGCGCTGCTACCGCCGGCAGGGCGTCCTGAGGGCAGGGGAAGCGCTCAGACTCCGGCTCTGCTCAGGGACCTCGGCCCCTCCCTCAGCCCGTAGCCCTCACCAGCACCCGCCGACCCCGGCTCCGGCGCTCCACCTACCGGAAGGCCGCCCAGCTTGCTAGCAGTCCAGGCGCCCGGCCCCGTGGGGCGGCCGCGCACTGCACTGTCTCGAAGTCCGAGCAGCACTGGTTTCCGAAAAGCCGCCATGACTACGAGGCACCCACGTGGAAAGGCGAACTACGGCGGCCGAGACGGTGCGCCTCTCCGCGCACGCGCACTGGCTACACCTGCGAGACGGCCCCGCCCCCTTAAGATTATGTTTAGGAGGATTAGATCCCCTGAGCTGCGCAGGGCTCAAAATCCGGGAGCCTCAGACCTTCTGTGCCTCCGAATGCGCCGAGATAGGAAGTACGCACCATCTAGTATGAAGTAGTCTTGCGAAAAGATTTTACCTGAAGTGGAATAATAGTATTATCGTTAAGACAAAAAAAAGTTTTGATTTTTCAAGGTACACGTCAAAATGCTTACAGAGGAAATTGCGGAGCGGGCCATGAGTTGGTAACTTGAAATTCGGCGTCAGACAGAGATCCTTGACTTATATGTTTGGGATTTTCCATAAGGGATTTTTTTTTTTTTTTAAATGCCTGTGGCACAACGTAGGTGAATTTTGAAAACATCATGCTAAGTGAAAGAAGCCAGACACAAAAGGCCAAGTTCTGGAAAAGGTGAACTTCAAAGAAAGAAATCAGATCAATTGTTGTCAGGGTTTGGGTTCAGAGGGTAGGGATTGACCATAAAGGAGTGCCAGGAATCTACCTCTTCAGGTGATGAAATGCTGTATATCTCAACTGTGGTGGTTATGTGACGTATACATTTGTCAAAACTCAAAACCGCACGCCAAAAGAAGGTGCGTTTTTCTGTATGTACATTATACCTCAACCTGATTTTTTAGAAAATGCAGATTTCGGGGTTGCCTGGGTGGCTCAGTAGTTGAGCATCTGCCTTCGGCTCAGGTCATGATCCCGGGTTCCTGGGATGAGCCCCGCATCGGGCTCCCTGCTCCGCGGGATACCTGCCTCTCCCTCTCCCCTTCCCCCTGCTTGTGTTCCCTCTCTCGCTGTGTCAGATAAATAAAATCTTAAAAAAAAAAAAAATGCAGATTTCAAAGGCACTCTTGCAGTCTTCATACTATAGTGTGCAAAGGAAGTGTATGTTTTCAAGGACTGACACCTTCAAGCAGGATATAAATGCCTCATGATGTTTGGCTCCAGCCCCAGCACAGACCTGGAGATGAAACCAGTTTGCTGCTTGGTTTATCACTGCCAATCTGCTTTAAAAGCTTTAGAAGGCACTGTGAAGTCTGACCTTGGTGTTCATTTCAGGTCTAGCCAAAGAGGGTGCATGAGTTGGCAGATACTTGTTATTTTAGGTAAGTTTCCCAAGATACATATTTTTGGTTATGGCAAAAAGAAACTTCAAAACTGGTATTCTTGCTACTACAGCAAAACATCTTCCAGCAGTTACTGAGCTTTTTCCATCATCAGTCACCTGTTTATATAACACTACTGACTAGAGCCCCTTGATCAAACTCTGATCACAGCATGAAGGCTTATTACTTAAGATGAATTTTCAAGATGTTAATTGCTGCCCCCTTGTGGAATTCCAGAGGCAATATAACATCAAATTTGAAACTGACGTTATTGTGGGGTCCTTGGAAGTGTTAACAGAAAGGTGTTTGCATGTGTGAGATTTGAAGCATTCCACTTAATGATTTTATAGGGTTTGGACTTCCCTGGCAGACACACAAATCAAGTTGATAGTATTTATGTCTGTATGTATGCATGTAATCTCTGCCCCCAAGGTGGGGCTCAAACTCATGACCCAGAGATCAAGGGTTGCGTGCTCCACTGACCTAGCCAGCAAGGCGCTCCCAGTTTATTTTTTAAAGATTTTATTTATTTGACAGAGACACAGCGAGAGAGGGAACACAAGCAGGGGGAGTGGGCGAGGGAGAAGCGATGCGGGGCTCGATCCCAGGACCCTGGGATCATGACCTGAGCCGAAGGCAGACGCTTAACGACTGAGCCACCCAGGTGCCCCCCCCACCGTTTGTATTTATTTGAGCAAGTACAGAATGAAGATTTTGAAGGCTGCTTGAATCTCACACTGAAGAGTTCTTCATGACAGTTAATTTTATGTACCAACTTAACTGGGCTAGGAGGTGCCCAGATAGCTGGTAAAACATTATTTCTGGGATTGTCTGTGAGGGTGTTTCCAGAAAAGAATAGCATTTGCATCAGTAGACTGAGTAAAGATCTGCCCTCACCAGTGTGGGTGGGCATCACCCAGTCTGTTGAGGGCCCTAAGAGAACAAAAAGGTAGAGGAAGGGTGAATTCTCTTTCTTCTTCAGCTGGGACATCCATCTTCTCCTACCCTCAAGACTGAAACCTACCTGCCCTGGTTTCTCTGGTTCTCCAGCTTGTGGTAAACAGCATATTGTGGGACTTCCCAGCCTCTATAATCAGGTTTGCCAATTCTCATAATACATCTCCTCGCATATATCTGCATCCCACTGGTGATATTTCTCTGGAGAACCCTAAATAACACACTATTCAAAAACTCACAACCACTGGCAGCCATAGGACAAGGGGAAGCCACAAGGGAGGATAGTGGTGGTGATGGGGGGAGGAGAGCAAGGCAGGGTCAAGGGACATGTGGCCATCTAACTGACATGTGCAAGTTCCTTCTGCATAAAGCATGACAGGAGACTTGGCGGCTGGCCTAGAGGAGCAGTGGTCCCACTCCTAAGAGATCCCTCATGTAAAGCCAAGTTAGTCTGAGGGGCTCTGCCACCTAGAATTTTTCTCTCTACAGACTTTTTTTTTGTGCTTGCTCTTTTGTAATAGAGGAGATGCCTCTGATGGGAAAAGACCTTCACTTTTCATCAGTTACGTTAAGACAGGTGGGTTGGGACTCCTGAGTGGCACAGTCGGTTAAGCATCTGACTCTTGGTTTTGGCTCAGGTTGTGATCTCGGGGTTATGAAGTTGAGTCCTGCGTTGGGCTCCGTGCTCAGCACAGAGTCTGCTTGAGTTTCTCTCCCTCCCTCCTGCTCTCTCTCTCAAATAAACAAATTAAAAAAAAAAAGGCAATAAAACTAAAGGTCGGTTACCAGGAGCCTCAACAGAGCCCGACTGTCAAAAAACATCTTTACGTCACCTCTACCAAAGTGAGAAGTGGGCATTCGCTTTTGGAATTAAAAAAAAAAAGCAAAACAAACAAACAACAGAGAAGTGCGAACAATTTGAGTATTATTTTAAGCAGACGTTTGCACCCGTATGGTCACTTTCTGTAAGTAAGACGTTCCTCCCTTTGAACCTCCATGGGTGCAGTTTGCCTTCTCCATATGGGAGCAAAAAATACAAATCCTGGCTTTTCTTGTCTTGAGGAAGGCACATGACCAAGCCACAGTACAACCCATAAGTGGGCAACCCAGGAAAGAATGGGGTGAAGGCAGCTGTGATGACAGGGTCGGGGACAGCAGGGCTTTGTGCAAGGGGAGCAGTCTTCCTGTCCAGATTCTGTATCGTGATCTAGGGTGTAGATCCTGGAAGCTCAGCCTCTAGTCTACCCGTCCATTCTGCTCAACTTTTTTTTTTTTTAAGATTTTATTTATTTATTTGAAAGAGAGAGAACATGAACGGGGGAGGGTCAGAGGGAGAAGCAGACTCCCCGCCAAGCAGGGAGCCCGACGTGGGACTCAATCCAGGGACTCCAGGATCATGACCTGAGCCGAAGGCAGTCGCCTCAACCAACTGAGCCACCCAGGCACCCTCGACTTTTTTAAATAAAATTCCCTTTCTGGCTAGTTGGCCAAAAATATTATTTGGTATCTCGAAAAGAAGAAATAGAAATCCCTTTTTTCAATGTCTGTCTTATTTTAAATTTTTTTTTTTTTTTTTTAAGATTTTATTTATTTGCGAAAGAGACAATGAGAGACAGAGAGCATGAGAGGGAGGAGGGTCAGAGGGAG